GTCGCTATACCAGATTATCTTCATGTAAGCTCTTTCTGCCCTGCAATCGTCGTGTACCCCTCATGGAGCCTCCATACCAGGCATTGGTGCGCGTACTACAGTCAAAACCCGCATTGCGGGAGCAAGGACTTTCTTACTCTGTTCTAGTGCGTCCGTGTGCCGGCCTCAGTCTTCGCTGCTAATCCCCCATCTTAGCTACACGTCTGCGATGCAAACGATTGGCTTGTTCGGTCTGCGGCTGCATAGACTCCCGGCGCTTCTCGCGGCGGCCGTCTTCTTTACACTGTAAGCGCTGTCTTCGACGACCGCGTTCCAGGCGTCGCTCACCATTCGTGTCTGCAGCTCCTGCGGTCTTATCTTGCCGATGCGTGCGCCATTTGTCCGAAGTATGGCTGGTCTGCGGTGGTCTGCGTCCGAGTCTAACACGATTTTGCAGATCTCATCAACTTCCTGTTGTTCCAGGCGTTTATTCTGTACATCCACTACATGCGCGAAAACGTGAGTGTCTGCCGGCCGGTGCCAGCGCGCGCTGATGGGCCGATTGGGCAGGCTGAGCGACGACTATACACACTTCGAGATCAGCTAAAAATCCAGTTCCGAGCGACGCAAAAGGCGCAGGTGAACGAGCGAAAGGCGGCGGACTCGAAGCGGCGGCTCACCTGAGGCGCACGGCTATGGCGCGGCGCTGACGTTTGACGCTGATGCACGCGCAGTACGCGGTCCACGCGCGTGTGTTGATCGTGGGCGATGCGCATGGCCTGCCGAATGCTGCTGCAATTGCTGACGCACCCGAGGCGAGGGCGGAGGACGGGAATAGGCAGCATGTAAACAGCAGACCAAATATATTTTATATGGCAAAGTCCAGACGCTGCCGTGACCGTCCTTATATCAAGAGTTGCCTCTCCCCCTTGTCTTGTTTCCTATAGTGAGAGCTGTTCTCTGCATTTGCGCAAAGAACAGCCCTCTCCCCTTTGTTCTGTTTCCTGCAATAAGGGCTGTCCATTGCGCAAATGCAACAAACAGCCCTCTCCCTCAGGCTCGTCAGTACACAATCAGGCCTCACTGCGATCCCGCAAATCACTAATGCAGCGGCTTACCTTCCCGGTAGCCATTTCCTAAGCTGGTAATTCCGCTTTTGCTCAATTTCCGTGTCGCCGCGCAAGCACGTCAGAATGTACCATCCATACACGCACGGGCATGACCTCGTGTTATTGTGTAGGAAGCAACTCGACGTAGAGGCACCCCAGGCCATATTCATATTCCTGATGTTATTAGTCCCCGCGATAGAGATGACTCACGCTTTGCTGGATACCCGACGCCTTGCAGAGCGAGAGCTTCAGCTGTCTGCCCCCTTGTTTTCATGTGTATTGTACTGTCTGCTCGTACTACCTAATCCCGGTCAGCACAATCTCGAGCATACCCTCCATCCCGGTCAGCAACCTATAGCCATCAGGCATGAGTACTCGATGTCCGAGTCGTCAGCGACAGCAGATCTGGATCCGACATTGATCAATCATCGACATTCCTCGGGCCACTGAACACTCACCTTTTGACAACCAATGGTTTGCATAAGTGCCTCACGGTCAGCCAAAGTCGGTGACAGCCCATTTGATAAGTCGCAGTAGGGTCAACAGAGTGTATGTGGTAGCGGCAGTACTTACAAGCATAAGGACAGCATAGTCGCAACACTGACAGACAATTGGATACAAATATATATGATCGGGACTCGGCGGTAATGGTAAAACAAATTTGTACAGCTTTGTGTTTCCAGAAGGGAAATGTGTCGGATCAAATCATCCGAAACAAATCATCACTGTTTCATCAAACATAGACAACTGCCGATATTGAACCATCTCCTTATGAAAGTGATCACCGGTCAGCTCTAGATCCACACAACCAACAGTGCGATCCCGATGCTCGGCTCGTATGCTCGCTACGAGCCATCTTGTGTGTATGATCCTCTGCCTGCTGCCCGTTGACTGTTCACAAGGGAAACTCGTCAGCCGCACCTGTTCTCCCCGCACAAGACACACTGACCAGGTGCTGTCCTGAACTCATGTCCATACCTTGCTGCTGCTACAGGTCAACTAACGCTCTCCTGGCCCTCCTTGCAGGGTGCGTCTGTGGCATCTGTCCTCTCCGCACAAGATGTACTGACCGGGCTCTGCTCCCAGCTCACGCCTGCACCAGGGCCCGTGCTTGCCGCCATGGCTGGTCAACAATTGATCGTCCGCATTGCCAGAGCCGCCCGCATTGTGTGTGGATGCTAGCAGTCGCCTAGGGCGTGCTACCGAGATGGTGCGGAATACAAAGTGCGCGCGCAGAGACTTACACTTGGTAGATTCCAGGCTTCAGGCTCCTCGCGGTGGCGCATTCCGGTCAGACTAGGTGTCCGCACAATGGCTGAGATGCCGCCGCGTGAAGTGGCCGAGTAGCCGGGAGAAGACAAGTCGGCGGGGTGTGTGTACATTGCTGCCCACGTCCCGCAACCGAGCTGAGTATGGCAAATTCAGGTCTGGCGTGGTGTTGCTATTTCTGTGCATCTGCAAAGAGCACTCCTGGCGGGAACCGGATGCATCTGCGCGAGCGCCATGGTCTGCCGCTGACTGATGTTTGCGCAGGGCTGATTTGCACTGCCCGGATGTTGGGCAGATAGTTGCGTGCGGCCTTACGCCATCAATTGAGCAGCGGCGCGATCGTTGAGGGACCGCCGCGAAGATACCCGCCGCGCAACGTGATCGGGAGAGGTCGAAGCGGCGCGCGGGTGTGAATGATTATGCTGACATCAACGCAAACAATAATTTCGCGCGCCTTGGCGCTATGTCTGTTCGAGCGTGCCCTGTCTGACGCACATTGAGGTTGGCGCGGGCAAAGCTGCTGCGTGAGGCGATTGTGCCCGGGGATGTGTGAGGGAGCGCTTGTCAGTGCGAGCAAGTAAAGCACCAGCGGTGGCGTACACAAAGTCCGCCCGCATCTGGCATAAGCGCGTACGGTGGCGTGCTCTGCGCAAGTTGCTGGGTATGCGAAGTGCACTCGAGCGCGCGAGAGGCGTGTGGTAAGAGTAGACAGACACAAGCTATGTACATACAAAGCTTATGGAAGATGTCCAGCGCAACCAAAGTGCTGGATTGCGAGTACGCCACCGTCGAGCACCAGCGACTGGAACTGGCCATAGACATCGCGGAGGCGCATCGCGTGCAATGGGGCGGCGAGCGCGCGGTAGCAGAGTCGAGGCACGATCGGGTCGGGTGCGCTAGCTTAGACAGCACAGCCAGTGTGAAGAGGACGTGCTCTGACGAAAGAACGCCTGCAAAAGAAAGAGCACCCCGCGGGGCAAGCTCCGGACACCGGCGGCCGACCGACTCCTTGAGCGCGGCGCGGTCGCCCCTGCCCAGCACGCTGAACTGCCGCACCCCGCGCGCCGGTACGCGCCCAAGCGCAGGCCAATCGAGCGCACACAAGTCGCGGAAGCGCACGGGCGACAGCGCGCGGACGCAGCACTCCGAGTCGAGCGTGCGCACGTCCGCGGTGTCGACGCGGAGCGTGAGGGTGAGGGGCGAGCTGCGTGGGGCGCGGGAGGACCGCGAGGAGCGCAGGGAGGCTGCGGACGCACTCTGCGGTAGGGGCATCCGCGACTGGCGGGCTTCCCGTCTTGGCCCTGGTTGCATGGCGCTGCCGCTGTGGACATGCGGGCGCTCGGATCTCCGCG